AAATACAAAAACTTAGCCAGGCGTGGTGGCGGGCGCCTATAGTCCCAGCTACTCGGGAGGCTGAGGCAGGAGAATGGTGTGAACCCGGGAGGCAGAGCTTGCAGTGAGCTGAGATCGCACCACTGCACTCCAGCCTGGGCAATGAGCGAGACTCTGCTTCAAAAAAAAAAAAAAAAATTAGCTGGGTGTGGTGGCGGGTGCCTGTAGTCCCAGCTACTCGGGAAGCTGAGGCAGAAGAATCACTTGAACCCAGGAAACGGAGGTTGCAGTGAGCTGAGATCACGCCACTGCATTCCAGGCTGGGCAACAGAGCAAGACTCCGTCTCATACATACATACATACATACATACATACATACATACATACAGTCTTCCAAAGGAGGAAACACGGTTGGGGTTCAGAAGGTGGGGAGGTGACGGGACAGTGCCTGGGTGAGGGGCAGATGCTGGTCACTGGGTTGAGAATGAGGGGAGGGAAGTGACTGGCTGTGCGCAGGTCAAAGGGGGCTCATCGTGGTCACCTCACACCAGCCGTGTGTGCCAGGAACCGTGGCGGTCTCTCCCTAGCCCAGGGACTCAGCTGATTCTGCCACTACCACCCCGCGCTTGTCCATGAAAACAAGAAGGCTGCAAAGAGTTAGACTAACAGAAGTCGGGGTGGGGGGCACACATGACCACCCACCCTCCGCCAGCAGCTGCAAGTTTGGGCGTTCCCCAAGCCACCCTCATGTTTGTTTAGTTGCTGAAAGGACCCACAGAAGTCACTAGAGGCCCTGATTCCTGGCTATGGCTCATTCCAGGGAAGGGACGTAGGTTAAGACCAAAGGGAAGACGCTCACAGGGCAGATCCCATGAGAGCTCCAGGCACAGGCTCCCACTGTCCCCTCCCTGTGCAGCCATGGGCAGTGCCAACTCCTCCTGACGGTGGTGAGTGACAGCACAGAGCATCGCCAGGAGGGAAGCCCCTGGCCTCCATGTCCAGAGTTCTTACAGGGCATTATGGATTGAACTGCATCTCCCAAAAATTCCTAAGTCAACCTCCTCACCCCAGGGCCTCAAAATGTGGCCTTCTTGGGAGTAGTGTCTTTGCAGGTGTAATGAGTTAAGATGAGGTCATTTTAGTAGTGTGAGCTCCTAGTCCAATATGACGGGTGTCCTTATCAAAGGGAAATCTGCGCTGGGTGCAGTGGCTCATGCCTGTGATCCCAGCACTTTGGGAGGCCGAGGTGGGCGGATCACCTGAGGTCAGGAGTTTGAGACCAGCCTGGTCAATATGGTGAGACCCTGGCTCTGTGAAAAATACAAAAATTAGCTGGGCATGGTGGTGGCATGCCTGTAATCCCAACTACGTGGGAAGCTGAGGCAGGAGAATTGTTTGAACCCGAGAGGCAGAGGTTGCAGTGAGCTGCGATCATGCCACTGCACTGCAGCCTAGACGACAGAGCAAGATCTGTCTCAAAAAAAAGCTGGGAATTGGGGGCGGGAATCTGGACAGAGACAAGACACAGGGAGAATACAATGTGAAGGCAAGAGGCAGAAATGGGGTGAGGCTTCTACAAGCCTAGGAACGCCAGATTGTCAACAACCACCAGAAGCCAGGGGACAGGCTTGGAGCAGTCTCCCTTGCAGCCTCTGGAGGAACCAACCCTGCCGACACCTGGATCTGGAACTTCTGGCCTCCAGATCTATAAGACAATGAGTGTCTGTTGTTCCAGCCACCCGGTTGATGGTGCTTTGTTGTGGCAACCCCAGGAGACGAAGGCACTGGAGCTCCTCTAGAGGCTGATTGATTGCTCACTTTGGAGCTCAGCCTGCAGGCTGCCGTCTCTCTGGGCATGACCCAGAGCCCTCCTCCATCAATCATGCCTTTGGACACCCAGTGTAACCACAGCCCCCGGCAAACAAAGACTCTCCTATCAGGCAAGATATTCCAAGGGCTTAGAGAGCACCTCCCAGAAACCATGGACGGAGACCAGACCTCTTTTTAGGCAAGGTTAAATTCTTTACTACACAAAGGGCCTGGAGAGGAGGTGCAGTGCACCCGGGGTCACACAGCTGGTGGCCTGATTCCAAAGCCAGTGTGCCTGCTGCCTTCAGTTTTTCTGAGCCTACCGCCTTGGTCAAGTTGCAGATGAAACAAGAATTTGGCCTGAATGGCATGGCTCCAGGTCCTCTAGTTGTACATTTTTTTGTGGATTCAAACAGATTGTCCCTGACAGCTCAGGTGTAACCTGCCTCTCAGAGGAACACTGCTTAGGTGAACAAAGGTTGCCCTGAGAAGCCCCCTGTGATTTCCCCACAGCCAGGTATGAGATTCCCACTGTGCACCTGCCATCCCTTGCTACTGGAGTCAGGGAAAGATTTGCTAACTCTATCAGTAATCTATTACTGCATAACAAACTATGCCAAAACTTTGTGACTTAAACATCAAACCTTTATTATCTCAGAGTTTCTGTGGGTCAGGAATTGAGGAGTGGCTTATCTGGGTGGTTCTGGCTCAGGGTCAATCATGATGTTACATCCAAGATGTTAGCCAGGGCTGCAGTCTCATCTGATGGCTGGACTGGGGCTGGAGGCTCTGGGGCTGAGGTGGCTCCCTCGTGGTTGTTCGCTAGAGGCCTTGATTCCTCACCCACATGAGCTTCTCCACAGCTTGAGCATCCTTGTAACATGGTGACTGGCTTCCCCAAGAGCAAGTGTTCCAAGAGAGAGCAAAGAGGAAGTTGCAATGTCTTTTATAACCTCACTGTGGAAGTCACACACCATCATGTCTGTCCTATTGTTGGAAGCAAGTCACTAAGTCCATCCACACTCAAGGGCTTAGACTCCACCTCTCAGAGCCATGTTTTAGAACCCCCACACTGACCCTACAATGGTCACTTAGGAACATTGTCCTGATAGTGGTCAAGGAAGGCCCGAGAACAGTAGGAAAAATACCACCCCCCCAACCCCTTATTACTCAGCCTCTCCCTTTGGTCAGGGGCTCTGATACTTGAGCTAATTTAATCCCAGCCTGGCATTGTTTGGGGCAAAACCAAAGTGATGGGGCATAGAGACAAGGATTGTAACACCTAGCTTAATGCTGCCTGAAGGGTTTTTGGTTATGTTTAAAAGTATTATTATTATTATTTTTTTGAGACGGAGTTTCACTCTCGTTGCCCAGGCTGGAGTGTGATGGCACGATCTAGGCTCACTGCAACCTCTGCCTCCTGGGTTAAACCTATTCTCCTGCCTCAGCCTCCCGAGTAGCTGGGATTACAGGCGGACACCAGCATGCCCAGCTAACTTTTTTTGTAGTTTTAGTAGAGATGGGGTTTCTCCATGTTGGTCAGGCTGGTCTCAAACTCCCGACCTTAGGTGATCCGCCCACTTCGGCCTCCCAAAGTGCTGGGATTACAGGTGTGAGCCACCGTGCCTGGCCTTCTTTTTGTTTAGACAGAGTCTCACTCTGTCACTTAGGCTGGAGTGCAATGGTACGATCTCAGCTCACTTCAACCTCTGCCTCCCAGGTTCAAGCAATTCTCTTGCCTCAGCCTCCTGAGTAACTGAGATTACAGGTGTGTGCCACCACGCCCAGCTAATTTTTATATTTTAGTAGAGACGGGGGTTTCACCATGTTGGCCAGGCTGGTCTTGAACTCCTGACCTCAAGTGATCTGCCCACCTCGGCCTCCCAAAGTGCTGGGATTACAGTTGTAAGCCACCGCACCTGGCCTTTTTTTTTTTTTTTGATGGAGTCTCACTCTGTCACTTAGGCTGGAGTGCAATGGTACGATCTCAGCTCACTTCAACCTCTGCCTCCCAGGTTCAAGCGATTCTCCTGCCTCAGCCTCCCGAGTAGCTGGGATTACAGGCGCACAACACCATGCCCAGCTAATTTTTGTATTTTTAGTAGAGACAGGGTTTCTCCGTGTTGGTCAGGCTGGTCTTGAACTCCTGACCTTAGGTGATCTGCCTGCCTTGGCCTCCCAAAGTGCTGGGATTACAGTTGTAAGCCACCGCACCTGGCCTTTTTTTTTTTTTTTGATGGCGTCTCACTCTGTCACTTAGGCTGGAGTGCAATGGTACGATCTCAGCTCACTTCAACCTCTGCCTCCCAGGTTCAAGTGATTCTCCTGCTTCAGCCTCCCGAGTAGCTGGGATTACAGGTGTGTGCTATCACGCCCAGCTAATTTTTGTATTTTAGTAGAGACGAGGTTTCACCATGTTGGCCAGGCTGGTCTGGAACTCCTGACCTCAAGTGATCTGCCCACCTCGGCCTCCCAAAGAGCTAGGATTATAGGCATGAGCCACCACCCAGCCCGCATTTAAAATTTAAAGCACTCCTACTTACTCTGTCTCGAGCATGTGCTGAGCTCAAGGGAAACACAGATGAATGAAGTAGAGACTGTCCTCTAGGTGTTCACAGCAAAGAGAGGTAGAAATAAAAACAAATCATGTCATTCATTGATGAATGAGTAAATGCAGACAGGCAGAAGAGGGAGAGGCCAGATCTGCTGGGACACCTTTCCCAAGGAAGAGCCCGTTGCACCAGGCTTTGAAGGATAAGCAGGAGCTTGTTACTCAGGCAGAGGAAGAAAGAGCATCCCAGGCCGGGGGAACAGCATATGCAAAGGCACAAAAGGGCCCCGGGAGCCCAGGGAGTCTGGGGAAGTGTGAGCGCTTTGCAGAGTAGGGGCTGGTGGCCAGAAATGGGGCTGCAGCTGGCTGGGCCACATGGTGAAGGCTGAAAACTGGACCTAGAGGCCAACTAGCCTGTGATCAGCATTTCCCAAAATCTGTTTCCCGACTCATGGTTCTGTCAGATGTGTCGGGGGCTCCTTTGACATTCCTGAGACTCAGGTTTTCATCTGTGATGCGGGGACAGCTGCGCCCCTTGCTGCGAGGCGTCAGGACTCAGGTGATGAAGGGGGGGGTGGCGCCCGCGGTTCCTGGCGGCCACTGATGCCTATCTCTCTGTCGTGTGTGTACGTGCATGTGTGCTCCACGCCTGGCTTCTCAGGCTTTAAAATGTGTGTCAGCAGCAGCAGCAGCAGCCACGAAGAGGCCCCCGTCCTGAACGACAAGCACCTGGATGTGCCCGACATCATCATCACGCCCCCCACCCCCACGGGCATGATGCTGCCGAGGGACTCGGGGAACACAGGTGAGGCCGTCCCCTCTGCCGCCAAGCAGGGTCGAGTCTGGGGGCCCGGTGGAGACAGCTCTCAGGGGCGTCCTTCTGGGCCACGGGGCCAAGCTTGCGTCCCCACCTCCCCCTGGGTTCATTAAGCATTTATGGTCAGACCTGTGTACACTGCACCATGAGCCCCCTGCCACGGCGCCAGCCTCAGCACGACGCGGCGTGTTAAGTAATTAGTAGACAGCCCCTGCCAGCAGCCAGTACGATTGATGGATGGGGCCGGGCTGGCCTGCCACACCGTGGCTCCCGCCAGCCAAGGTAATTGATGGATGCTCCTTCCCCTGCCAGCGGGAGGACCGCTGCTCCATCTTGTTGGCCGCTGCAGTTTGGCTGGACAGGACAGACTTGGAAACACAGCCCATGCCCAGGCTGGGGCCGGACCCTGGGCCTTCCAGATGCAGCTCACTGCTGGGAGCAGGGAGGAAATAGAGTTCTTCCCAGGGAGAGGGTGAGGAGGTGGGACACAGGCCCAAATCGGCTCCCCCACCTGCCCCTCGGTGATACCGCTGGTGCTGGTGGGACAAATTGTTCACATATTCATCGAGCAAAGATTTATTGAGCTGGGCCTACATCAGGTGCTGAAGGCTGCTGCTATGAATAATAATGATATTGGGGATGATCATGATAGGTTGCACGGTACTGAGTGTAATGAGTGGATTTTCTTATTTAGTTCTTACAGGAATTCTCAGAGTTAAGTACAGATTTCATCCCCATTTTATTATTTGTATTTATTTATTTTTTGAGATGGAGTTTTGCTCTGTTGCTCAGGCTGGAGTGCTGTGGTGCAATCTCGGCTAACTGCAAACTCCATCTCCCTCGTTCAAGTGATTCTTCTGCCTCAGCCTCCTGAATAGCTAGGATTACAGGCGCCCACCACCATGCCCAGCTAATTTTTGTATTTTAGTAGAAATGGGGTTTCGTCGTGTTGGCCAGGCTGGTCTCAAACTCCTGATCTCAGGTGATCCGCCTGCCTGGGCCTCCCAAAGTGATGGGATTACAGGCATGAGCCACCGCACCCAGCCGCATCCCAATTTTAGAAATGGGTAATCTGAGGTTGAGAGAGGCTGAGACACTTGCCGTGCAGCTGGTCAGTGGTGCAGCAGGGAGGCAGCCCCAGGCTGTGTGATCTGCACTTCACACCATGGTCCCCAGGCCGGATGCCCTCCCCACAGGTGGCATCAGTTAGTTGACAGCCATTGTGACGTGGGTCTCGCTGGGCCCATGCAAGCGACACGGCACCCATAAGGCTGATATAGGGTACGTGGAAGGCTGTCTGGGAGGGGGGATCTGTAGACCCTTCCAGATGTCCTGAGCTTGGGTCTCCGCTTGCCCAGCAGAGCAAGTGACTGGGAGAAAGCTGTCAGGCCCCTCTGGGTTGGACCAGTGCAGGTGCTGGGTGGAGCCATGGTGGGTGCAGTGGGGTGCCTTCCTCTGTGACCTTTCCAAGTGCCTGGCACCAGGCTAAATGCTTTTCACAAATCTCATTTAATTCTCATTCCAACCCTTATCTCTAGTTTAGAAATGGGGAAACAAACAGGTCCAGAGAGGGACAGTGCCTTGCCCAGGGACACACAACAAGGTGGGAGAAGAGCTGGGCTCCTGCTGCAGTGCTCCTCCTGCACCCCAGTGCTGTCTAATCAGAGAGCCCAGTGTGGGCAGACAGAGGCCCAGGTCCTTAGCTCAGCTGTCATAGTCTCTTCCCTCTCTGAGCCTGTGTCCTCACCTATAAAATGGGATCATGCCACTTTGCCTGCTTCCAGGACCAGTGTGGGCAGAGGGGAGACACAGGGTTACTCTGCAGGGTCCGAGCCCTAGGGAGGTTCCTGAACCCTGGGAGGAGTTCCTCTGAAACTTAAGCAGCTCCGGGATCCGACTTACCCAGAAGGATCCAGCATCACTGGGCTGGGTCCCATCTCCGCCTCTGGCAGCACCAGAAAGCAGGGAATCCCAGAGGCCTCAGCCCTGCAGCTCCCAGGGAAGCGGGCCTGGGTGTGGTGGGGGCGGGGTACATCCAGGTGTCACCATCCCCTCTTTCTCCTAGTCTGGTTGGATGAGACAGGGTCGTGCCCGGATGATGGAGAACTCGACCCGGAAGCCTGAGGAGGTGTCGTGGATTTGTCTGGTGGGCTCCTGCTGCGGGGTCCCAGCTTCAGGTGTCGGGGGGCGTGGCTGCCTGGAGCAGGTGTGCTGAATACCCTGGATGGGAACTGAGCGAATCTGGTCTCCACTGGGAGAGATGTGGCAGGACCAGCGAGGAATCCAGGCTGCTTGCTTCCGAAACAGTGTTTCCCGACCCTGCTGAGTGGACTGGACCTCTGACACCTCCAGGGTCTTGCTGACTCCAGCCTGGTGCAAGGGAGCTCCATGGTCCTGGCTGTTGGGGTCCCAGGGAGAGGCTCTCTTCAGGACAAACACACCTTCCCAGCCCCACGGGCTGTGCAAACACGTGCCCCTGCCATAAGCACAAACAAGAACTTCTTGCAGGTGGAGTGGCTGTTTTTTATAAGTTGTTGTACAGATGTGGGAACAGTCCAAAATGGGATTTATAATTTCTTTTTTTGCATTATAAATAAAGATCCTCTGTAACAAATGGTGAATCCTTTTTTATTTTTTTTGAGACAGAGTCTCGCTCTTGTTTCCCAGGCTGGAGTGCAATGGCGCAATCTCAGCTCACTGCAGTGTCCGCCTCCCGGGTTCAAGCGATTCTCCTGCCTCAGACTCCTGAGTAGCTGGGATTACAGGCATGAGTCACCATGGCTGGCTAATTTTTGTATTTTTAGTAGAGACAGCATTTCACTATGTTGGCCAGGCTAGTCTTGAACTCCTGACCTCAGGTGATCTACCCGCCTCAGCCTCCCAAAGTGCTGGGATTATAGGCGTGAGCCACCGCACCCGGCCACAAATGGTGAATCCTGCTTCTTGGGTCAGGAGGAGGCAATGGAGCATGCCAGGGATATAGTGGGCCACACGGCCAGGGCCAGCTCTCTGGACGTGTCCTGCACACTGCCACAGGGCCCGTCTCAGAAGGCCCATGCTGGGTTCAACGTTCTGCTGTTGCACCTTGAAATTCTCAATCGGGGCCCAGCATGGTGGCCCATGCCTATAATCCCAGGGCTTTGGGAGGCCAGGGTGGGTGGATCACTTGAGCCCAGGAGTTCAAGACCAGCCTGGGCAACATAGAGCCCCATCTCTACTAAAAGTTTTAAAAATTAGCCAGGTGTGGTGGTGCACACCTGTACTCCCAGCTACTAGGGAGGCCAGGGTGGGAGGATCGCTTGAGCCCAGGACATTGAGGCTATACTAAACTACAGTGGTGCCGTCGCACTCCAGCCTGGGCAACAGAGTGAGATTCTATTTCACTTGATACTAGGAGTTTGAGAGCAGCCTGGCCAACATGGCAAAACCTTGTCTCTACTAAAAATACAAAAATTAGCAGTGCATGGTGGCACATGCCTGTAATCTCTAGCTACTTGGGAGGCTGAGACATGAGAATCACTTGTACCCGAGAGGTGGAAGTTGCTGTGAGCTGAGATCATGCCACTGCACTCCAGCCTGGAGTGCAGAGTGAGACTCTATCTGTCAAAACGACAAACTACAAACAACAAAACAAAACAAAAATGGGAAGGAAGGAGAGGGAGAAAGAAGGAGAGGAAGAAGGAAGGAAGGAAGGAAGAGAGGAAGAAGGAAGGAAGGAAGGAAAAAAAAAGACGGGGAATCCTGTTGATGTTGATGCTTACCTTCTCCTACTTCTGTCCTATCCTCTGCTGCTTGCTTAATGTCTGAGCCCTCCACTGCCTGCTTAGCAGCCTCCAAAAATTCTCCATGATCCCTAAGAGGCCAAAGGCTTAGCCTTGCTCACCCTCCACTCCAATTAAGCTGAACTCCTTGATTTTCCTTGTACACATGCTTCTTGTTCTGGTTACCATTGCTGCACAACAAATATTTAGTGTGAAACAACAACCATCATCTGTTTTGCCCACAAATCTGCAATTTGGACAGGGCCTGAAGAGAGAGTTTGTCTGTTTCATGAGACACCAGCTGAGGCATGTATGTCATCTGGGGCTAGAAGATCCACTTCCAAGATGGCACACCCACATGGGCAAGCACCTACCACGTGGCTGCCAAGTTGGTTCTGGGCTCTTGTTTTTCTCCACAAGAACCTCTCCCGGGGCGGCTTGGGCTTCCTCACAGCATGGCCCCTGACATCCAAGCAAGAGCATCTCCAGAAAATCAGGTGGAAGCCGCATCGCCTGTGATGGCCTACTCTCTGAAGTCACATCACATCACTTTGGTGGTCGTCACGGGCCTTCCTAGATTAAAAAGAAGGGAACATAGGCACCACCTCCTGATGGGAACAAAGTCAAAGGCATAAATAGAGCACAGGCTGAGTGCAGTGGCTTCTGCCTATAATCCCAGTGCTTTGGGAGGCCCAGGGAGGAGGATCACTTGAGGCCAGGAGTTCAAGACCAACCTGGGCAATGTAGTGAGACCCTGTCATTACAAAAATAAAAAATAAAAATAAACTGGGTGTGGCAGTGTAGACCCACTAGTTAGAGGCTGCAGTGAGCTGTGATCACACTGCTGCATTCCAGCCTGAGTGACGCAGCATTAAGACCCTGTGTCTAAAAAAGAAGGAGGGGGAGGAGGAGGAGGAGAGGAGGAGAAGGAGGAGGAGGAGGAGAAGGAGAAGGAGGAAAAAGAAGGAAAAGGAGGAAGAAGAAAGAGAAAGAAGAAGAAGAAGAAAGAAGAAGAAAATGTGGATGGGAGATGTTGTGGCCCCATTTGGAAACTACAACCTGCCACCCGGTTCAGGCAGTTCTCCCTGGAACGCCTTTGTTCCCAACCCCAGTCTCTCTGTAAGGTCCAGTTCCATGGAAGCCTGGTGCCCCTCCGTGCCAGGCCCTGCCAGCAGGAAGCTTTGCTGTCCTCCAGCTCCCACAGCACGTGTTCCCTCCCTCTCCTGTGAGCGGGGTGCCCTTCTGTTGTTTCACAGTCACTGATGTGCGGGGCATCACAGGAAGAGGTGCCTTGTCGCTGGGGCTCACAGCCTAAGGCTGATCAGCTCACCTACACCCCAGGAACCCCCGCCACTGTCTCTAATAAATAAATTTCCTAAAGGTAGTGACTTAGTCTCACACATCAGTATATTCCCAGCACCTCTATCATAGGCGCTACCGTATTTATTTATTTAGTTAGTTTTTGGTTTTTTTTTTTTTTTTTTTTGAGACAGAGTCTTGCTCTGTTGCCCAGGCTAGAGTGCAATGGCACGATCTCGGCTCACTGCAACCTCCGCCTCCTGGGTTCAAGCGATTCTCATGCCTCAGCCTCCCAAGTAGCTGGGATTACAGGCGCCCACCACCGCACCCGGCTAATTTTTGTATTTTTAGTAGAGACAGGTTTTTGCCATATTGGTCATGTTGGTCTCAAACTCCTGACCTCAGGTGATCCGCCCGCCTCTGCCTACCAAAGTGTTGGGATTACAGGCGTGAGCCACCGCACCCAGCCTTGTTTAGTTTTTTAGAGACAAGGTCTTGCGCCGTCACCCAGGCTGAAGTGCAATAGTGTGATGGAACGCTGGGGCTCAAGCAATGATCCTGCCTGAGCTCTGGGATTACAGGTGTGCACCACTGTGCCCGGCCCTTATTTAGCATTCATATTGCCTGCTATGTACCAGGACTGTACTTAACACTTGACAGATATTTTAACTCACATAATTCTCATGGAAACCCTGAGAGATAGTGTATTAGTCAGTTTTCTTTTTGCTGTGATGTTGCTGTGTAACAACCACCCCCTCCACCCCCAAACTCAGTGGCTTAGAACAGTGAGCACTGATTCCTCACTCACGGGTCTGTGGGTTGGCCGTGGCCTTGCCGATTGGCTGCGAGGAGCTGGGCTTTATCAGCTGCAGTTGGACTCCGATTTCCTTCAAGTGTCCTGTCATTTAGGCACCAACCAGAGTGTGCTCATTCACTCAGTGGGTGGCAGAGGCACAGAGCACAGGCAGAGTCAATGCATTTGCAGCTTCTGCTTGCGACACGTGCCCACATTCCCTCAGCCAAGCAAGTCACATGGCCAAGTTGCACGGCACAAGGAAGGGACAGACAATTCTCCTAAAGATGGGGAAAGGTGAGTCGGAAACAATAACCTAATCTCTCGCAGGTCAGTGCTCTTTATTACCCGCATTTTACAGATGGGGGATGGGAGGCACCTAGAGGTTAAATCATTTGCCCAAGGTCATCCGAGGCAAGTAAGTGGCAGAGGTGGGAATCAAACCCAGAGCCTGTGGTCTTACCACCCAAGGGATCTGCTTCTCTTGCGCTTGTTGATTGGCCAGGCAAATAGTCGCCCCCTTCCTTCTGGCTTCTCAGAGCCCCTTCTGTCCACCTAGAAGCCAGACTGGACCCTCTGCCCCTCCTCTTGAATGCAGGGGGCGCTGGGTCTCAGGGTTGCAGGAAACCTCATGCCTCCCTGAATACTCCTCAGCGGTCTGCCATGGCTGGTCACTGGCTTTCCCCTAGGATTCCAGGGCTCACAGCAACCTGGCTGAGGGCTCTGAGCTGGGGACACCAGAGGGAGGGCCGGCTAGAGGCTGCAAGGCCCCAGGACTCTGGGTGTGGCTTTCTCTCAGGGGCCTGGGCTGAGTTCCCTTATCCCCTAGAGGAACTGGGGCCCAAGGCATGCATAGCAATCCCCAGCTTTGGGCCTGGTGTGACCAGAGGCCTCGGCCCTGGTCCGCATCCCCAGCGAGGTCAGTGTTTTGGAGGTGTTGCCCCACGATCATGTCTGCTGAGTAAGGGCAGAGAGACCCTTCCTGGTGACAGCTGCCCCCCCACACTGCAGTCAACCCCATGGCGTACCCACTGCACAGCTCCTCTGCCCCTCGTATGCTTCCCGTAAACTCTGCCTCCCCTAGGAAGGGAGGGGCACGGCGGAGGGGGGCCTGCTCCGCGCAAGCTCTCACACAGGAAGGCATGTGAGCTGGGGGAAGGGCACCCACTGCAGCTCTGGCACCAGGGAGTGGGTAGGAGCAAGGGCTTTGGTGTCAGCCAGCTCCCCGTTGTGCTGTGTGATCCTGGAAAGTCACTCAACCTCTCTGAGCCTTTTCTTCACCTGTACAGTGGGGATAGTAACTACGTACCTTGTGGAAGCATATGAGGATTGCATGAAATCATCCACGCAGCCCATCCACCGCCACGTGGAGTTTGGCACAGAGCAAACAGTTTCTAAATGGAAGTCATCGTGATCAGGTGGGCTGTCAACCTCTCTGAGCCTCCGTTTGCTCTTCTAGGGAATGGGGACAATGCAATTTGGAACCTGAGGATTGTGTGAAATTGCGCAAATGCATGAATGTGGGCTGGCGTAGTAAGAGGGAGGGCCTGCAGCAGCCCACCTAGGGTCCTATCTAGTGGATGCTCCCGGTGCCCACCCATTGCTGTGATGCCAGCAGCCCACTGCAAGCATCCTCTTCCTTTCCAAGGTTCTCTCTGGTGCATGAATAGGTGTGGCAGGGGTGGGGGCTCCTGAAGACCAACCAGGGGTACTAGGGACCTTAGACTCTCGGGAGCAGCCTGCACCCGATACCAGGAGGGGTCAATAG